TGTTTTTCTATATTTGGGTCTTCTTGGGTTAAAGAACCCTTAATTTAACGCAAATAAATTCTCCGAAGAATTGTACTATTGTTTAGGCTTTCTTTTGCGTTTACACGTGTTTGCCCAGCAGATGTCCTCAGCGAAGCAAGCATTCATCACTTTACGAATTGATTCGAAGTTTTAGAAAACAGTCAGTAATGTCAGTGTCAGGAGGGTTATGTGATCCAATGAATGCATTAAGTATATTTAAATCAGTGCTGTTGAGATCGTTTAAATGCCAGTGATGCAATGTTAACTATTCACTCTGCACTTTAATTTCAGTTGCTATAAAATTCCACTGCCAAGTTTTTGTTTATGTCGCGCCCAAACAACACCATGTGTTTTATTATTTATTTACTTAATTTTACTGCTGACAACATAATTTATACAGTTACTCTGTATACATATCTTGTTTTGGCGTTGCTTCTAATTAATATTCATTAATCATAATAAACAAAAGTTCTCGCTCTCGCGAGGTTTGGGGCGAAGTCCCGAGAGTTGCCCTTGTGCAGTGACGTCACGCGTGTTAGTCAGAGGAGAACCTGTAACAGAAAAGAAAGGCATCCGCAGAAGAACCTCAGGCTTCGGCACCCAGCGACTCCTCGAGGAGCAGAGCTGGAGTTTGTGCACGATCTTCGGCGCTCGCGCCCATGCATTTGACCGATGCCATGATTGGATTGTGAACGCGGAGCTTGCGCTTTTGTTTAGTTGTTTTTTGTTTGTGTATATCAAGCACTGAGATCAAGAGAGCAGCACAGAAGTTTCCACTCCTCTAACTACAGGAATGTCCCACAAGGAGAGACCGACTTTCTATCGACAGGAGCTCAATAAGACCATATGGGAGGTGCCGGAGCGCTACCAGAACTTGTCGCCCGTGGGTTCTGGAGCTTATGGAACCGTGTGGTAAATATCTATAACCTCACTGGATGTCGTGCCTAAAACTCTTGCATGACAAGATCTGGCCGCTCGGGCCTCTTGCGTTTGATCCACAGCGTGTTTTCCAGGTCTGTCTGTAGAAAGTCATGGTGCAGCGTTGCAAGTTGAGCCAGAACATACTCTTTTGCAAAAGAAAGGTCTTACAACAGCAAAGGGCACTCTTAGTCTTAACACCATGGCTTTTGAAGTTTTAATAATTTAATAATTATTTTAATTTGAATAATTTAATAAGTTTCAAGTTTGTGTGTTTATAGTGTAAAAATCCAATAAAATAATTTAAATGTAAACATGATTAAAACTAAATATAAATAATCAAACATCTAGTATAAATGAAAATCATACATAAAATAATTTATAACTTATAATAAAATATAATTATTTTGCTAAATAGTATAAATGAATAATATACAAATAATAATATAAACAAAGTAGTAATTGGTTGTTATTGTGTAAAAAGGCAATAAATAATAAAACAAAAGTAAAACGTAATAATAAATAAAAATATATGACAAAAATGTAATTAGCCTCTGTTTGGGATATTACATCTAATATAAAAAGACAATCATGCATGAAAATAATCTGTAAAAAAAATGTAGTAATGTAAATGGATAAAGTACATATATAAATCGGTTAAGAAAAATGTTATCAGAAATCTCTAATTTAAACCATGAGAAAACATTGGCTTGGCCAAAAAACTGAACGACCCCTGAGTGAAGATTGGGTTGAAGTGAAGTGAAGTGAAGGTCTGTGCATGAGGACAGAATGCTGTCACTCTCTGCTCTGACTCATAGCTCCAGGATTAGGTGTTCTCCTCACCACTGCGCCTCTGCTAGAAACCTCTTCTAAATATTACATCATTTACTCCAAAGCTCTAGATTAGGGGTTTTCCTTCAGGACCCAGATTTTACATCAGACATCAAGCGGCGACCAAACCTCTGCAGGAAATCCATTGATTGTGCTCGTCGTATCTGTGCGTGTTTGGCTAATGCAAGGTTCAATAAAAGCAAAAATGTTTGGCATGTGGCTTTGAGGGTTTCAGGAAGGAAAAGCCAGCATTGCTTTGCATGCTGCTGCTGACATCAAGGACGAGCCACGGGCCTCGATATGTCTGGAGGAGGGTGTCTCTTTCGTTTTCCTGGACAGTCCCTAATAATGTGGGTGGATACTGTCCTAGCGGTGTCCTCTGGCAGAGATATAAATAGAGCTCCATTGTGTGTGTTCCCAAGACATTTGCAAGTCTGGTAGATCAAGCAGTTCAAGTGTGTTCACTGTCAATCATTGCTGCTCCTGCATGAAGCTGTAGCACTCCTGCCACGTGTTTCTTGGCATACAGGAAGCACTCGTTCTGTAAAGCCACTTTTTATAACCCTGACATGAGAACAGGGCATCTTGTGCACGCCATACATATTTTTTTTCTGTATCAAATAAATAGTTTGCTCAGGGTGTCACCAGACAGCGTGTGTACTTTAATCTGTATGTAACAGAACCTTTGCTCAAAACGTTCTGGAATCCACTCCGTTTTTTTCCCTTTCCCACCCACTCTGAGAAGGAGAAAATGTAGGTGCTTTCCAAAAATCTGCTTCAGTCAACTCCGCTCACATACTCTGGCCTGCACCGCTGTAAAAGACAAGTGGAATCATATAAACAGTGAAACACCTTGGAGCAGTTATATATTTTCCCATTCATTTATTCCACTGGGATTTTTTTTTTAAGTCTTTGTTAAGGAGTTATAAGCCATGAACCAAGCCAACCAGCTATGAGGTCAATCACAACATTATTACAAAATTAGATTTGAAACAAAAAGTATTTGAAAATTGTACAAAAAGACAAAGGCTTCACTGAAGGAAGTGTTGTAATGAAAAAATCAAATTAACTTCCTGGGTAGTGGTCGACCGATATATCGGCCGATATTTGGCATTTTTCAAATATCGGCATCGGCCGATAAGTTTTTCTGTTTGGCCGATGTGTTCGAGGCGGGACTTTTATTTTGACGGCGCTGAGAGCGGCAGCGCCTGAGCACACAGTGCTCACGTTCTCCCTCTTGTTCGCCATCGTCGTTAACAGTTCTGTCTAATACGGATAGAAGTCGGTCTAATAATCCAATAGAACTGTTAAACAAAGGAATTAAAATGTATACAAAAAGTATTATAACGATTGCTTTTATATTATTAGCAATAGAAAGGCAAACATTTTAATACTTTCTCATTTGCCGTCAGCATTCAGCAAATACGCATTTACATAATTTAAACAAATCTTTGAATTGCTAATGAAAATTAAATTTCACAAACCTTGCAAACTTAGTCAAATCTAGTTGTGAGATCTTTTGAAGTGTGCATGTGACCTGCATGATCGCGTGTTCTCTGCGTGACTTTCGTTCAGTGCAAATTGAATGCTTTAAACATTAAATTCGTGATTTCAAATTATGCTGAGCTTTATGCATTTGCCCACTGTCATATTCATGTAATTTTCACTGTGTGCTGTATGTAAAATGAGTGTTACCTTGGCTTTATTTGAAAAAATATGATTCCCAATGCACACAAACTTCCCAGAATACTGAGTGCTCTGTTGGTTACAGTTTACTTCCTTTTTAATTATATTTTTATTAAATATTTATTTATTTGTGGAAAATACTTTGTCGCCTAAAGTATAAGTATGTTTATTTTACAAATTTATTTTTGAATCCATTTTCAAATGATTTCAAATTTCTTAAATATTAATTAAAATAAATACAATTATATCGGCCATCGGCCACCCTGCTTTCCAAGATATCGGCATCGGCTGTCAAAAAACCAATATCGGTCGACCACTATTCCTGGGTCGACATTTTATTTCGGTAACATTGGGCAGTTTTGATTTATATGCTGTTCAATTTTTGACGATCACATGTTATTTTACATATGCATCTGCTTGTACATACACTTGTTTCTGTCAACACAGAAAGCTGGAAAATTCTGTCAATGGCAGAGAAAGAGTTAAAAGTCCACAGATAAATTAAATTAAAAAAACTATAAATTTTGATCTGAAGATGTTAATTAGAAATAACATCGTATGTTTATTGCAAAATCTTCATATATATATACAAATATAAGTACGATGAGAGCGGGCGGGCACTAAAGAGTTCTTGTGGGATGTTTCGATTCTCTGACTGGTGGAGAGTTCTTTGCAGAATCATGGGTAATGTAGTTTTTCACCTGGAATTCCACTTTTGAACTTGATTATTTCAAATAAGTTGAATAATGCAGGCTGATGTCTTCAACAGAAGCATATATCATAGATGAACAACCTTGTAGTTGCTGTTAAAGGTGCACTAAGCGAATTTTGCCAGACGATGTTGACATTTGAAAGCACCAAAACAGACCCTAACTAGACCTCACCCCTATTTTGATATCTCCGCCCCACGCGCACGTACACAACCCCGGCAACGACAATGGCGGGATCTGCTATGCCTGCCATATTTGAAAGCTAATGGAAAAAACGCTTACAATTGCGCTGTCCAACAATGGTATTACATTTATTAATAATTGCAAATGAAGGACGGAGATGTTTAATGGTAGAAAGGCACATTTTCGCCAACTCTTGCCCCACTCCCTGTCTTTGTCTTTGTCTTCGTGAGTGAGCGACGCTGAAAACTTACCAAATAGTATCGGCTTTGCCTTTTCTACCGAACGTATTAAAAGTTTCCATTTCCGCGCCACTGAAATTAAAAGCTCACTGTTTTTTATTCATATTGTTTACCTCATCAGCAGCTCGCGCAGTGTTGGCTGCTTGGTAACAGAGCTGAGGGTGGATTGTCATACTTGATAATGCGAACACATTGCATTACACCAAATACACCAAATAATGTTCTTTTTAGAAACGTCATATGACCCCTTTAAGATTTCCTAACTAGAGATCAGATACAACTTCATAAGATAGGATAAGAATCCCAAATCAAGTTAAGATTTGCTTCTGTAATGCGAATTTGCGAAAAATACAAATTTAATGTATCTTAAAGGCTACAATACTATACAATAACAGCAATACTACAGCGAGAATAAAAGTTACGCCTTCTTTCTTTGTGTGAACATTTGGGTGGCGTTATGCAAATCTTCCCACATCGTGACGTAGACATGTGGGGGCGTGTTAGAACGAGCTGTTTTAGGTAGGCGTGGTTGACTCTTAACTTTTATAAAGAATATCTCTTTGGATTTGAGACTTTAGTCTTTGCAACTTTACAGATCTTCTTTATGCACCAAGAGCTTGTAACACTCCAAAGAGAAAGGAAAAATTGAAATCGCATCATAAGCAAGATAAGAAACATTCTGCAATACTGTTCCCTGTCGGCGCCGATAGCCTTGTGGGCAGCGCGCCGACATTCAGTCCTGAGTTTGAATCCTGGCTCAAGGACCTTTCCCAATACTGCCCCTCTCTCTCTCTCCCACTTTGCCTCACCTCTAAACTGTCCTATCATAATACACGCAAAAAAAAATTGAATGGGATTTTTCCTTCAGAAACCTGACTGTTGCACTCTATACTAAACATCATGCCGCCTGGCCAATCAAATTTGAGGACCAGACACCTATATTACCACTATAACATTGTTCAGTTGATGTTTAAATCTGTTTGGGTTGTTAGAGGAGTGTTTTGTTGGAGCACCAGTGGGATTTTTAGTCTGTGTGATGCACAGAAATTTCATGACTTTCCAGGCTGTGAGTGTTTGCAAATGTCCCACATTGTTCAGGTCTTGTTGTTTGACAGAATAGAGGTGGATTCTGCCAGAAGGCACTGACTGCGGCGCTCTGGAAGTTTGGGGTTTTCTCTTGAAGCGGCTGGATCAGAGAGAAAATCCATCCGTAAAACACAGAGTCGTTATTTGAATGAGAAACAGTGGTGTTTATCATCCGAGTGCATTTGTCAAGAACATGATGTTCGATAAAAACAGCAGAGGGAAAGCACATTGTGAGTTTTTTTTTTTTCTTCTTCACTCTAGCAGAGCGAACACAGTGACTGACTCTCTTCGCTAGAAACTCCTTTGGCCTACTTCAGGCCTGTTTTGCTGGGGTTTGTTTTTCTTGCTCTGGCACAAGTTGTTCGTGTTCTAGGCGAGGTCGAACTGAATCCACAACTGTCTCCCTTGCCATTGTGTTGAAGGCACATTCCACGTTCAGTACATAAAATAGTTAACCTCAGTCAGTTCATGACAAAAGTAACAAAAAATGTTTACAGTAATGCAATTATTGCTGAAAATAAGCTCTGTGGCCGACAAAAGTTGATGATTCTTACTCATTCTTCATGATAATCTTCACAGAAAAAACACAGCTTTGAATTTTAAGCCTAAATACAATTGGCAGAAGTAAACGGATAACCATAGGCTGTAAAGAAACATTTCAATGTCAACTTCTGACAACTTTCAGAGTTTTTTTTTTTTTAAATGCGTAAAAGTCTGAGTTAGAATAGTTTGCAAGAGCATGGGCCCAAGCAGCAATGGTTAATGTAGACAAATAGGTGATAAAACTGCCATGTCTCTTTTCAGATATTATGTGTTTGTACTGCAAAGTCAACAGTCTGGAGTCTCCACTGATACTGAGAGTTAGGATTCAACGAGCAGCTTAGAAAAATAAATGATTGTTCCACTGACTTAAAAAACTTAAAGGAGACATATTATGCCCCTTTTTACAATATGTAATATAAGTCTCTGGTGTCCCCAGAATGTGTCTGTGAAGTTTCGGCTCAAAATACTCCACAGATCATTTATAATATCATTTTGAAAATGCCTATTTTGAGTGGAATCCGAAGCACACGGACAGAAAGCGGCTGTCAACAGCATGCGAGTAGACTAAACTAAGTTCTCATTCACACACAAGTTTACGTTAAAAACACACGAGTTACAAAAGGACTGTAAATAGTGTTCTGTGCTTGTCTGTGCAGCCAAAGACAAAACAGTTAGTGTGTTTTGCTCAAACTTTCACCATGGCATTAGAGCTGGTACACCGTTGTCGCTTGCGAAATCAAAATGACGGCGCCGTGGGTGTAAACTTACAGATTAAGGGGCGGTAATATTATAATGAGATCCCTTTGTCACGTCACCAAGGGAGCGAAATCTGACGCGCTCGTTTTCTCAGACGCTTGCAGAAAAAGGCTTACCAAAACAAAGTTACTGGGTTAATCTTTTTCACATTTCCTTGGTTGGTAGATGCACCGGGGACCTGATTATAGCACTTACAACCTGGAAAAGTCAGATTTTCATGATATGTCACCTTTAAAAAAAAAAGATTGAGGAAACTTGAATCACAAAAATATATTGACGTGAACACATAAATGATTAACAATAAACGCTGCAATATTCCATAAAAAAAAATACGAATTTTCAGTTTTGATTTTATGTTGTCTTTAAATTTAGCATGTAACGTTAAAACGCTAAATTTCTGATGAGCTGTAAATGACCACAGGCTGTGATTTATTTATCTTTTGAGTTGAATTAATACAGAGGAAGAGCTTGAGGCTTCATCATCACTAATCACAATGTCCATTATGGTCTGTGTCAGCGTGTCCTGGTTTGATAGAGAAATGGGACTTTTCCTGCGCACTGTGGTGGTTTCCCATGTTTCACAATCAGCACTGAGTCATTGGCTCGGCTCTCTCTGCTAGATCTTTCTTTTGGATCAAACCCATGCATGTGGAACGCCAGTCCTGTACCTGGTTGCTGTCTAGCGTGCAGCTGTTTTCTGTTTCAGCACAACGACCCAGCCGTTGTATATCACTCTAACTGTTCCTAATGCTCAGCCTGTTCACAATGCTTGTAAGTAGATATCTCCCATAAACACCACACCCTTTAGCGTCTGCAGTGGAGAGGCTTCAGCTATGCCTAGTTCCCCGTCAAGCTAGATTGAGTCATGCACCGATTGTTATGTAAGAGAAGAGCAACATTTGTTCAAGACTCAACAGTAAAGCTGTACAGATTTTGACCTCACTGTTGGCATTGTGTGTCTGTCGAAACTGTATGCCTGATCGTGATTTATCTACGGTCTTATCAATTCTTTTGCATCATTAAAATTTGCATGTGTTCCTATGAGGCCAATTTTTTTCCAGGGGTGTGAATATACAATCATTTCAGGCATGTGACACAGTAAAAAAAAAAAAATATATATATTATATAGGCTACAATGTTATATGTGTATGGATGCAATATATTAAATGTGTATATGTGTGGATGCATTCATTCAAGCTGAGCTGTAATCCTAGCTGATTAGTTTTAGAGCGCTTGTATGTTGTACTGTAAGTTGATGTTTTTTCCATGATGGTTTCTTGTGGTTTGGTCTGTGACAGTGTGTTATTATTTGTCTGGGCCGGCAGACGCTTTGGCGAGGTGTGTTCTTTGGAGAATGCTAATAGTGCAAGAAACTTTGTCTCCTTCCATCTGCGAGACTGGCATACTTACACTTCTTGGAAAGCCTGTTCGCTCTCCTGACCACACCAGCCTGGGCTGCCATGGTTACTGCGCTTCCATTGTTCCAAAGTTGTTTGGAAAATGAAATTGGGGCTGGATACCGTTTGGTAGGACGTTTTCCTAACCATGCATTTTGTGAATCGAGCAGAACATTGTACTATGGGTGACATTTTGTGGAAATTATAGTTATTAGTGGTTCTTGCTAAGGCATGAACATGTTCAGTACAGGAATATTCCTATATTAATCAGAATATGGTCACTTTCTGAATTAAGAAGCATGTAAATGTAATAACCATAACCAGATTCAGACAATATTCTGGTTTGTAGATGTAAGGCATTTAGCATTGGTCTGTCTGAGGTAGTTAATAATAAAATCCATGAGCTTATCTACAAAAAAAAAAGTTTCATTGTACAATGACCAACCACTGTTGTCCCAATCCCCAAACCCCTAAGTCGCCCCATTCCTGCCATATAAGTTCACAGCTGGAGAAATGTGTGCTGAAAAATACAGCATAAGATGAAAAAGCAAAAGGTAGAAATTAATATTTTTTGTTACTGTAAAGCATGACTCATCTACTCTCTTCTAAGCCGCCTCTCACCGAATTTGTGCTTTTTTTTTTAGGTCTTAAGTTAACATAAAGAGTTGAGAAAGAAATGTATTTAATACTTAAAGGGGTCATATGATGCGATTTCAATTTTTCCTTTCTCTTTGGAGTGTTACAAGCTCTTGGTGCATAAAGAAGATCTGTAAAGTTGCAAAGACTAAAGTCTCAAATCCAAAGAGATATTCTTTATAAAAGTTAAGAGTTAGCCACACCTACCTAAAACGGCTCGTTCTAACACACCCCACATGTCTACGTCACGATGTGAGAAGATTTGCATAACGCCGCCCAAACGTTCACGCAAAGAAAGAAGGCGTAACTTAAAAATATTTGGCTGCACAACTGTTGATAATTCTAATAATAAATCAGCATATTAGAATGATTTGATAATGCCACAACATATTTTCATGTCTGATCAGGGCGATAATCACCATAGACATTGAGGGGGGCTAGTCCCCCCGATAATTAGAAATCGCTAAACCTTTTTCTCAAATATTGCCAATTTGAGAGAGAGATGAAAGTTGTGTGTACACGCATCTGTGCGTCTCTCTTTACAATGAGTGAGTTTACTTCAAAACAGCGTTGCTGGAAAATATAATGTAGCGATTCAGTATTTAAACTGTTATTAATAAAAGTCGCGAGGCAGCATTGACAAGTTTGTTTGCTCCTGGATACGTGAGCTGCACGATCTCCGATATGTGTGTGTGTGTGTGTGTGCATAAGAAGGTATAAGTATAAGTTAGGGCTGTGCGATTAATCGAAATCGTCATAAAATCGCGATTTGAGCGTGCGCGATCAATAATGTACAGCATGTAGAAAATAATGTTTTTTTAACTTTAAACCGCATAAACACATTTCATTACACCAAATACACAAAATAATGTTCATTTTGGCAGCATCATATGACCCCTTTAAATTAAATACTGTTTTATTTATTTGTATCTTTGTTCTGTTGTATTTATTTGGTATTACTTTTAATTTTAGTTGTTCTTATTTTGTTCCTGTTTTCAATTTAATAATGTGTGCTCTTTATATTACTTAGGTTAGTAGTTTTTGCTGTGGTATCTAAATTGAAAGTTTACTACTGCTATCTAAAATGTGAAATACTACACATCTACTTCATATATGTGGGCAAGCAGAATGTTACATGTGTGTGTATGTAAGTAAATATTGTGTCAAAATCATGATTAAAATGGAAGTCGCAATATTGATCAAAAAATTGTGATAGTATTTTTTTGTCCATATCACACAGCCCTACGTTTATATCTAAGATGTCCAAACAAACGATACCCAGCCCTAATTAGGTCTTAAAGTGACTGCAGCCTTCTGTATTTTATTCAGATTGTTCAGAATATGCAAATGACATGCTTACAGGAATATTCCAATTGCTGTGGATCAAGTTAAAGCCCCTCCCCCATAATCAGAAAATGATGTGCATTTGAATGTAGCCAGTGCCAGTATTAATAATTATGGACTTGCACCTTGTAGACTGTTAAATGGACCAAAAAAAACAGAACGCCCTAGCAACCTCAAAGCAATGTCCTAACAACCACCTCTCCTTACAACCACTGTTCTCATTTTCAAAAATTCGAACAAACAAAAATAGTATATGAGAATTATTGTTCTCACTCTTGCTGTATGAAAACATGCCACTTTTATTACGGCAGTTGAGCATTTCATGCTTTTTAAACCATTTATTCCATTTCAAATGATCTAACGATTTCAAACATAGCCTTTTATGAATGTTCTTGTGTTTCTCTTAACAAAACTTTCCTACAGTTATTTTTCCTTGGAATGCTTGTGAATCTTGGAGTAAACTCTCCGATAATCTTGCAGTCTGTGATGTTGATCAAATCCATAATGTGCTGTTCTTTTTTTCCGCAGCTCCGCGTTAGACACAAAGTCAGGCCTGAGGGTCGCCGTCAAGAAGCTGTCCCGGCCGTTTCAGTCCATCATCCACGCCAAGCGCACATACAGAGAACTGCAGCTCCTCAAACACATGAAGCACGAGAATGTAAGAGATGTTTACAGCTCTTTTATTTCACCTACATGTACAATGCGGATCCTCTTTTGACAGGCTTGTACTGTATTTTTTCCCACATAATCTGTGACTTCCTGACTGTACTTCCTCGTTCATGACTATTATAGCATCCTCACATGCTCTGCCAGCACAGATCCCAGTGGGAGATTCATCTGTGTGTAATGTAACTCTATTGATAGGTTGTCTGTGAGCTAATGAGGGAGTGGGGAGAGATTATGCATTATAAATGTATAATGCACTGCACTGCAAATCAGAAATGCATAATGTACATGTTGCGCTCCACGTTTCGTATTCTGTTTTATTTAAGTAAGATTTTTACGTAAGATTTTCCTCCCCTCTAATTTTTTTGTTACATTCAATCGTGTGTTCATATTTACGGTCATGTTATTAAAAATTTTTTTTGCAAAAAATCGCCAAAAAATAAAGTTTGCTAATGTTAAATCATTGATTGCACGATAATGCCACAACATATTTTCATGTCTGATCAGGGCGATAATCACCATAGACATTGAGGGGGGCTAGTCCCCCCGATAATTAGAAATCGCTAAACCTTTTTCTCAAATATTGCCAATTTGAGAGAGAGATGAAAGTTGTGTGTACACGCATCTGTGCGTCTCTCTTTACAATGAGTGAGTTTACTTCAAAACAGCGTTGCTGGAAAATATAATGTAGCGATTCAGTTTTTTAAACTACGTTATTAATAAAAGTCGCGGGGCAGGGTTGACAAGTTTCTTTGCTCAATGTGTGAGCTGTGTGAATTCCGATATGCGTGCATGTGCGTGTCAGTCATGTGAACTTGGCGCAACAAATCTAGTTCAACATCTGAGGCAAAATTGATCAAAGAAACCGCAATAGGTTTTTTTTTGTCCATATTGCACAGCCCTAGTATAAGTGTGTGTATTGTAGGAGCTAGATGACGTATGATGATGTGTAACGGTATAGTAGTGGTGTCCCATTTCTTAAGGGAATATTTTCACCCCTACCCCTTGACACGGTTTCGTTTCAAGGGACAAGGGGTAGGCGTAAGGGCTAAAATAGAATTGGGATTGGGCCTTAGTATGCAGTTAGAATTCCCATATAATTCATGTCATGATAGCAAAAATATGGGTTTTTGTTTTTTATATTTATCTATATTTTACATTTTATTAAGATATGATATAGTTAAGTAATATCACACGAGCAAGAGTTTGTTTTTTTTTGTTTTTTTTTCCTGAAGATAAGCATGTGAGCGTGATCGCAAATGTGATATTGATTTTATACAACAGTTCAACAAAAAAGAAGCTTATAGGCAGCGACTGTTTGCACTAAGTGAAAATAGCAGTATTTATTTGAGCGATATGCTATTTACAGTAAGTGCAAATAGCTATAGACTCTGTTTACACTGTTAAAATATCAGGATTTTCTGCTGTTTATACTACTTATTGCAAATAGTGGCAATAATCTGCAGGTCAGTTTTGTAGTACATTATAAAACAGAATGCAATAATAACATATTAAGTGTAAATTATAATTTTAATTCAAATTATTAAATGGACGCTACCTTATTGGGACAATAAAGCCCTCCCTACACCTACCCGATACTTTATTTTCAACTTTTTGATTATATCCTTCATTTATATTGAAAATAAATGCATTTCCGATGTGATATGAGATTTGAAAATGGAGGAAAAAAAGTTCGGCAAAAGGTGGATTCGAACTCGGGTCGATCGCGTTAAAAAGACGACGGCACGCGCTTTATCATCTACGCCACTGGAGCTGTGGTTTGACAATCGTCTTTTGTAGTGTTGACTATCCCAATCACACGTTGGTGGGCGGAGTTAGTGTAAATAGCTTCTGCCAAGTTAATATTTAGTGAGTTGCATTTTAGATTGTCCGCTGTTCCAAACAGCACATTTGTGCATGTCTGAGCAACACTGCAGTGTTTCGTTCCTGAATCAATCTGTTTTTGAATTAATCATTTCAGTCAATGATTCAGTGTATATAATGACAGTTGCCTAAATGAATCAGCTGTTTTGAACAAGTCTTTTAAATGAATAATTCACTCATTAAAGGGTTAGTTCACTCAAAAATGAAGATTCTGTCATTAATTTCTCACCCTCATGTCGTTCCAAACCCGTAAGACCTTCGTTCATCTTCGGAACACAAATTAAGATATTATTGATTAAATCCGTGAGCTCTCTGACCCTCTCATAGACAGCAAAACAACTGAAATGTTCCCAGGTCCTGAAACGTAGCAAGGACATCGGTAAAATATTCTGTGACATCAGGGGTTCAACCATTATTTTACGAAGCTACGAGAATACTTTTTGTGCGCAAAGAAAGCAGAAATAATGACTTTATTCAACAATTCTTCTCCTCCTCATCCTGTCTGCAGCGCTTGCGTTCATTGTCGTTTACATGAACCGGAAGCAAGCGCATGCATCGTGATACTCTCCACAATGGCGGCGCACCACTGCAGACGGGATGAGGAGGAGAAGAATTGTTGAATAAAGTCTTTTTTTTTTCTTTGCGCACAAAGTATTCTCGTAGCTTCGTAAAATTATGGTTGAACCACTGATGTCTATTTTACCGATGTCCTTGCTACGTTTCTGGACCTGGGACCATTGCAGTTGTTTTGCTGTCTATGAGAGGGTCAGAGAGCTCTCGGATTTCATCAGTAATATCTTAATTTGTGTTCCGAAGATGAACGAAGGTCTTACGGGTTTGGAACGACATGAGGGTGAGTAATTAATGACAGAATTTTCATTTTTGGGTGAACTAACCCTTTAAGACAGACTTGCCGCCACCTACTGGCAGTTTTAGCGTCATTTATCCACAACAGGTCTAAAGCAGCCAAAGTACCAACACAAAAACACACTCCGCAAAATATTGTTTAATTATCGCTATCGGAAAAATCCCCATAAATGTCGCACGCCCTCAAAAATGCATGCCTGTGTTTTCAGCAGGCATACGGTAAGTACGAATGATCTTATTTGCCTGCTGTTGTCAAGACACTCAACGTGTTTTGCATAGGAAAAAAAAAAAAGAAGCCTTTTTTGCCTTCTGGCCAGAGTCCAGGAATCTGTGCAGCCTCTGTTTGAGCGTGGGTGAAACTCTATGCTGGATCACAGCCACCTACTCGCTCTCTGTTTCTCTCTCCCTCCCTCCATTTTCCTGCATGCACGCGCATTCATGTTCCCTGGTGTTGTCTGTCTGTCTGTCTTACAGATGTTAGTGTTTAATAACACTCAAATCCCTGAACAGATCGACTCTTCATCCTTTTTCATAGTGCGAAGTGCGAACTGTGGCAACCGACAAGCAGCTTCAGTCCAGGACTGTAGTAAACACTAGCTGTACTTTGCAGTGTAATATGAGCAAAACACAGCACTCTGATGAAATGTTGCAGTCATATGTGTGACTTGTGTGTGATGATGAAGGTTTGATTCCTCTTTGGACCAGTTTCATAGTGCCCATCTAAGCTGCACAGTTCTGCATAGCTGAAGCTATATATATATATATACACCTATAAATCAGCACTGTCTTTTGCAGTATATACTTTAATGAACAGACATAAAATACTCTATCTGCCCACTTATTTGACAAAAGTCTCCTCCACATGTAGCGACAGGCACACTAACAACATTTTCTTAGTAAATCCGTCTGAATCCTAATGATTTAAATAGTTTATTGTGACACTTTGGAGATTTGGATTCTGTTCCATGTAGATTATTATTTACCATTATAACTATTTGGATATAAATAAGACCCACCTCCTCATCGTTCATTAATTTCATGATGATCAAGTTTGTAATATAATATATAATATTATAAAATTAATATAAAATATATTTATTATTATAGATTTAAATTTTATATGTTTATATATATAAATTTATATTGTATGTAATATTATAATGTATTTTTATTTTATTATTAAAAATATTGTATTTAGATGTACACTACGATACAAACGTTTACAATACGGTACAGTGTAAAAATATTTCAGAATCAGAATCAGAATCAGAAGAGCTTTATTACCAAGTATGTTTACACACACAAGGAATTTGACTTGACGACAGGAGCTTCCAGTGTAGAAGAAAGTTTTTATAATGTTACATTTATATTATTATATAACATTTATAATATTATATAACATTATTATATAACATTTATAATGTTACAAAAGATTTCTATTTCAAATAAATGTGGTTGTTTTGAACTTTCTATTCATAAAATAATCCAGAAAAATATAACATGTTTCCACAAAAATATGAATCATCACAACTGTCAACATTGATGATAATCAAAAATGTTTCTTGAGCAGCAAATCAGCATATTAGGATGATTTCTGGAGGATCATGTGACACTGAAGACTGGAGTAATGATGCTGAAAATTCAGCTTTGCATCACAGGAATAAATTCTATTTAAAAAATGCATTCAAAATTGCAAAATTTTATAATATTACTGTTTTAACTGAAATTTTTATCAGATAAATGGAGCCTTGGAGAACATTTGAGATGATTTTTCAAAAAAAAAAAAAAATTTTTAACGGAAGTGTAATTAATGGTTGTCATTTTGCCCGAAACACTGTTTGTCAGCAAGTTTGGCCAAAGTTTACGAATGTTACTGTGGGCAGAAGTGCATCGACAGCTTAGCCAGTATGAAAAGCACCCAATCCTCCTCTTGCAGAGAGAGAGAGATAAAGGTGATGCCCACACAAAATCTAAATGAGAGTTTCACAGAGGATGTACACAAGTGGAAGCAACACATCTCACTTTGTGCGCTGTTTCCTCTGAGGGGAACCGCAGCGGGCCGCATGCTCACCAACACCAAGAAAACAACTGCAGTAATGACAGATGATGAAGTACAGCTTATTTTCCTGTCAAGTGTGTTTACAGTCCTGGGGCTATTGTCCCTTCCAATCGGCTACCAAAATGCATCACCGCACTGCCCGATGGGCTTTATACAGGGTTCCCGGTCCTTAAAAAGCTCTAAAAAGTCTTGCATTTAAGTTGTGTCAAATTTAATGCCATAAAAGTCTTAAATACCTTAAATGGTATAAGAAAAGTCTTAATTATAATTTCAAGAGGTCTTAAATTTGGGGACGGAAAGAATCACTTTGTAGCTTAATGTGATGATTATAAACTTCAAAAGGCTATGATTTCATTGAATAAATATGAGCGCTACGCGTTTCAAGTCAAAGCACAGCGTAACCGCGCGGGTATGTTTATATGTGTCTCTGAAGGGAACCGACTGTTTTGATGGCATTTTCATTTTATCTTGCCTGTAATGCCTGATAAAGCAGCGTTTATGAGCGCAGCGCTGCTTTGTGTACAGCCGTTTACCGTATTATTTCTGATTCTCCAAAAGCGCCACCTATTGGCAGAGAATGAATTTGCATTTTCAATAAGCCCTCTGCTGTTTTTGTTCAGATCAATGCAAAAATTGACCCATATTTTAATGCAGCAACACACACTTGTAAATGTGAACCGGTGGATTGATAAGAAGCTAATATGCCTTCTAAAGACCTGGACACACCAAGCCGACTTCAAAGAACTAGCAGCGACGAAAGCCGATGGTGTTGTCGTTTCACGTCGGCACCGTCAATCCAAAAAGCTGTGCTTGAACACACCGCACAGACTACAGCCGACGGCAAATTAACATGTGCGTTCTGCTTATCAGCTATCAATAGTATATATTCATCATTCAAAAAGAGAAACCGAAACAAAGATATACGAGATAAACGCAGATATAAGAAACGTAAACAAAGCAGCACTTGCTTACCATTTTGAATATCAGTAACGTTGATAACTTTAATCATTTTAAGCGGCTCATGTTGTTATGAAAACATTCGCGTATTAGAATGATTGGGAAAGATCACGTAACATTTAAACAGCCTTCTGTCTGTACCGCCTTCATTTACGTGCTCGTTTTCATCACTTTCACTTTAATTCTCGGGCACTGGCTCGTTTGCTAAACTGAACATCCAATCAGAGCTTTCACTCACGTTGATGGCCCTGATGCCGATTCAACATGTTGAATCGGACAAACTGCCGCCGACGAGAGCCGATGAGTGGAACACACCAAACAAACTAGCCCGACCGTCGGCTTGGTGTGTCCCGGCCTTAAACAATTAAGACAGTAAGATATAAGATATACTGTATATGTTTTAAATTAATATTATAATTTATTCATTTGACTCATCCCTTTTTCTTAAAAATGGTCTGGAATTTGATGTTTATCAAGACTTTTTAAGATGTTTATTCAAGGCTACTTAAATTAATTTCAGGCTAGCAAAATCTGAACAGGGATTTTGAAATTATTCAAGCCTTGGTACAGAAGTGTACACTGGTGGTATTTTAGTAACAATGAGATACTACTACTATTTTATA